CTGCAGGAGAGCACGCCACCGTAATGGCTTCCACCACGTTATATGGGAGATAAAAGCCCTGGCTCTGGCCGGAACCACACTAACATGGGCACCTTCTAACATGAGCACCTAAGGCAACTTACTTAGGCGTCACTTTTGATCGAAGGCTATGGCATTTACATGTCAGACGAATTCGACCAAAATTACAAAGAGTTAGACTCTTACAACCTCTTTTGAGGGAACCTACACTCTCCTTAGAACTTCACTTGGCACTCTATAAAACGTGCTGCCGGCCTATGGCCACATATGTTACGGCAACGTGGTGGACTACAGCACACACTATAGCTGGTACAGAACAAAGTTCTACGGTTTATAGCACGCCCTCCGTTTCGGAACGGTTGAAAGTACTCAGGAAGAAACTCGATATCGAGTCCTTCAGTCAATGCTTGAGACGGCTTTAGTTTCACGACGCCTATCAAACCTTTCAAACCGACGAAACTCCGGCAACGCTAAAACGGAAAGGCGTAACAACCTTGTTGTAATCCAAGGATACAGCTGAAAAGCTGATCTTGGAAGAATTACACACGTTAATCGGTAGCGTGGTCAGTAATGACCTATACGCCAACAACAACACAACAACAACAACAATAATAATAATAATAATAATAATAATAATAATATTAATAATAGTAATAATACGGCCTACGGCCCCACTTGTTCATGGAGAGGGCTGGCGTGCGCCGCAGGCGCGTGCCGGCGGCCGGCGTCGGGCAACGGGTCGTCGGTGTCGTCGCTGGCGTCGCTGGGCTCGCTGAGCAGCGAGACGAGCTGCGCGAGGAGATCTCGACGTCCGGCGCTGATCGAGTTCTACGAGCGCAAGGCGCGGCAGGCGCGGGCCGCCGCGCGCCGCTTCGTGCACCGCTGCGCGCGCGAGCACGCGGGCGCCGAGGGGGAGGCCATCCTGCGCGAGCTGGGCGGCGAGGTGAGCCCCTGGAGGGCGCTGTCCGCCTTCATGCGAAAAGTAAATACTTCTTCTGCTTGGTTCACTCGGGAGGCGACGCGGCGCGAGGCGAACACGCGACCTCACGGTGCCGCCACACGTGCTCCGCAGAGGAAGACGTGCCAGCTCACGAGGGCTGCTAGGTATTTCATCTGTGTTTACCCCCTCCCCCCTCAAAGAGAGATGGACAAACTGTGTGGAGGTCTTCAAGTAATACTGGGTGCACATAAAAACGAAAAACACTTTTGGCGTTTTACGAATTTTCCTACGAACTTTTTGCAGTCATCTTTGCAGATGACTTCAAATAACAGTGGATGCGCGTAAAAACGGAAAGTACCACAGGATTCTGCACGTAATTTTCCTAGGAAGTTTCTGCACTCTTCTCTTTGCTGTCAAGCCAACTTAACTTGGAGCTAAATAAGCAATTCTGGTGCACTAGGTGATCAAATATAGGCACCTACGTTCACCGCAATTTTACTATTAAATTGCCGTTAGTAAAATATTTATCCTCAATTTTCATTGTTGGAATGAAAATAAAAAGACGAATGCAGTGTTTGAAGAAATAAGTGTACGGCATTGAAAAAGACGTGTGTTGAATAAAATAAAATGTTTTAAAAGCAACGTGAAGCATTTCTAACAACTCTCATTAACACTCGAATCACCGCGAATCCTTCAGGAGCGTTTCTTGATATTCAAGACATATCAATATTGAAGTGCAAAAGTATCTACTTCAATAAAAAATGTATTTTATGTATGCCGGTCGTTTTCTTTAGAACTTGGAGGCGTACGGAAAAGACTTTGGACCTATGGGATACTTTTCCCTAAACTAAAACTGGAGTCTTGCGTGTTACGAGATGATTGCTTCAGGTTGGCATAGCAACTGCGATTCTGCCAAGTTAGGTGATACGCTAACCTTTAACGTCAAGCTTGTGGGACGGATGTTCATATCACTTCTTTATTTTTTTGGAAATATTGGAAATTTGGAAATATTGGAAATTTGGAAAAAAAGAAATATCCCAGTACCAAAGTAACATGTCTTTACTGAATTTGGAACAAAAAGTCATATTACTCATCGTCATACCTTGCGAATTGGCCATAGCGCAGCGATATAATATACTGTTGATTTTAAGAAAATTTTTTTGCTATAAAAGTGGATCCTTACAAATAAAACTTTACTGGCGGAATCCGTACGAAGATTCTTCACTTTGCAAATAATTATTTGAAAAGTGCAAATAACTTTATACTGGATCCCATCTTCAGGCCAGATCTTGTACTGCACATTAAATCATTGAAGATCCGCCTTGAAGGGTTTGTCAACAAGTCAATTTTATTTTACATAGATTTAGAATTCCTGATCGTTGTTGACCACCCTGTTTAGGAGTCGGGGTCATCAGAAGAGCTAAATTGACATTCAATTCTTTACTCTACCTCACCCCCGTTACTTCCGTAAATTCACTTGACATTTTCCACATAGTTTCTCCACATGTTCCCTTGTTCAGCGTTTATTGGCAAGGAACATACAAAGTGAAGGAACCATAAAATAAAATGTAATAGAACAACCAAAAAGGTCTCGTTTTGTAGATTGGTTTATAAAAAACATAATTTGTGTAGGAGCAAACTGCTTTTAAGACTCTAGAATAATTGTTTAAGATTCATGCGATATATGATAAAGTGTGCGTGATCCTGGCTGTCCGGGTGACGCCGCGTCGAAGGCTGTGCTGCCGACGTTTCGACCATCTTGTCGTGGTCTTCCTCAGGGCTGGTATGCATATGCAGTATGCCGCATGCTGGCATGCATTGTGCAGCCCTGAGGAAGACCACGACAAGATGGTCAAAACGTTGGCCTTCGACGCGACGTCACCCGGACAGCCAAGATCACGCACATGACTCTGGCCGCGGAAGCCTAAGACTTCAAATGATAAAGTGTGTTGTGACATGCGTTTTGCGATTTCCATGTGCACCTGATAATCCAAAGATGCCGTAATTGCAAACTTCTATGTGCTTTTTGTCTTAAATCGGTTTTATGCACCCCTAGGGGTAATCACATATTCAGCAGGACTATACTTGCGAGGTTTTGAGCATGTGATTCTTCGAAAAGGGAATAATCCGTCGCCTTTCCTTAGCCTATTATTTTTAGAGGGGAATACTAAAAAGAATTTCAATTCTTTTCCCAACCTTTCCTATCTTATACTAAGTAGGATACTGTTCAAAATTAAATTCAGTCATAATCTCTCTATTCACTGCCCTGTCAAAACTATGCTGTATCAGACGTAAATTTCGATGTTTAATTATTAAATGCCAAAAGTGGAAGAGCAGTTTTTTATATTCAATGTTTACTTTTTCGAAAAAATATTGTTTTCAAAAATCATGTTGTCTTGTCTCTGCATGCACGTATTGCGACCCCGTGAGGATTATAGTAATTAAGATAATACTCATTTTTTTAAGTTAGTTGGAAACGTTCTTATTTAAAACACACCTTCAATAGAAAAACCTTACAATAATATACGAAAGTATACGTCCTTAAACGTTACATCTTATCATTGTCATGACGTTGGTCTGAGATGATATATTTGTTACCTTTAAACGTCGTCGTGCTTGAATGATACTATTTTCACGGATAAAAGATTCCAGCCTTAGGCTAGGGAAACTTGAATGTTTTGCTATTCTCCTTTTCAAGAATTGTCATAAAACCGCACACGATTGGAATTAATGGAACTGGCCATGTATCGATCATTGCGCAACATCAACTTCCAACAAATGTTTGAGCTAGCGGTCGAAAATAAAGAATAACCCGAGCCGTGTGACATCCAACATGTTTTCATAATTTTATGCGAGATTCTATTTAATCCAAAAACTCTAAATTAAAAAATATTCAGTAACAAACAATTAAAAGTATATTGACAAAAAATTATAGAGCTTTCGATTCAATGCTTATATTTACAATTATTGTCCTTCAAAATGTAAGATTTATCTGAAAATATATTTTCCTACAACAGTTCTCAAGTCCAAGAATAAATCTAATAGAATTAAGATCGAAAAGGTGTGTAAAAGCAAAATGTTAAAAGCTAACAAGCTTACGGCTATCAGTAAGACTACTACAGCGTATTAGTTCCACAAAGACATCTCTCGCGGTAAAATACAAAGCACAGTTCCTGTTTACACAATTTTTATTTCTGTTAAAATAAAGAAAATGCTAGAAAAATTGCTTAATAGATCAAGAAAATATTGTAATAATTAAAACAACAATTCGATATATTATTTGTTACACCAAACATTCATGAAGAATGCCAATCATAAACTGAACTGCGTTCAAATAATAGAAGAACTAAATCGACGGGATGACCAACACCAGAACCTTCGGAGTTAGGTCTTGTTCAGAACCTGAAAACCTATTTTCAACGTGCCCTCAACAATATTCACTCATTTTTTAAAACACACATTCTTCTTTTCTAGAGGAATGTGATCTACTTGCCGTTTTCATTGCAATATAAATGTACTTTTTTTGAGAAGTATTTTCAATAGTTCCATCTACTATGAAATTCTGAATCATTTCACGGTAGATAATTACTTTATTAACTTAAAAATGAATATGAGATAGGCATTTTTCTCAAAGTAGAGTTACCCAAACCAATTTCATACTTGAATTCGATTTACATTGTCCTGATAAAGCTCTTTTTATTGAACTTACTGAATCATCTTTATTATATTTGACACCTAAAGAGACGGGACACCTAAATATCTTTGCACTACCTACGTTATTAGGAAGAAACAATTCTCCTAATTATGAAACTTATTTGAAAAAGAACTAACTTCAAAACACATAGCTCTAGAGAAATTTCCACAGTAAAATAATCTCGTGTATCCTTAATCTAGTTTCCAAATCTCTTCTAAGAAGCTAGGTCCTTAATAGTTCATCCTAACGTGAATACAATGTCGAGAGGTGTTGTAATACATTCTGTGTTCTCATTAGAGAGTTTTCTTTACAGCGTGAAGCACTGTATCGTATACGATATGAACCCACCTTTTGAGTCTCTGGGCATGTGTGAACTCCAACATTGTTAGAGTTACAGAGAAAAACGCTTCTCTGGCAGAATTATTCCACTACTACCAGTCACGTGATCACACGATGTATGGTATTTGTTTCCAAGTATGGCAGCAGAGTGTCCTGTTCTCTCAATATTCCCATGTAATTTTGAGGTTGGCAATGCAATTCTTCAGGAAAATAATACTCCTAAGGGCGCGTGTGCGTCCTGAAACCTTTAGTATATTTTCTGTAGCCAAGATTCAAAATTACACTTACCATCCTCGCTGTTTTGCTATAGTCTGCAGGTAGTGATTTTACCCCTGAGACATTCTCGTACACCCTCCAATAGTATCTGTTTATACTTTTTGTCGGGTTAACAAAATACTTTCTAAGAAATAATTGAATCTTCTGTGTTATTGAAATATTCATATAATAGATGTTTGTGTTATTGAGATTTGGCTGTTACTTTGTAAAGGAGATAGCTATTGATGGGCAGTTCAATCGAACAAATGCTAATCGATACAAAGTGGTTTTATGGGAATATAGTGTTAGCAGCACACACTGCCGTCACATCTCGAATCTATTAGGGAGTTTTTGCACATTGACGCTTAAACATAACGGGAACTGGCTATCGTCACGTGATGCCGGGAACACTAATCACAGCCTTTGTAACAAACATAAGCGTTAACCGGGCCCGGTTCGGTGAGCGAAACTTCATAACCATACACGCTCTGCTTACGACTTTGTCGACAGTTATAATACTCTGTGGTTATAACTGTCGACAAAGTCGTATACAGAGCGTGAATGGTTATGAAGTTTCGCTCACCGAACCTGGCCCGGTTAACGCTTAACGACAGTATACATACATACATACAACATACACACACACACAGATAAATATATTTATATATATATATATATAATTATATATAATATATATTATAATATTATTTATATATATATACTACTATTGGGTCTTAGTCAACTTAAGTACGCCGTCGACTGCGTTTTCTGCAAATATACGTATGCCTTTAGATGTAGCTGCGA